GACCTGTTACCTCCTCTCTGCCTGCCACAGCATCCATGGGGTGAGAGGCTTCAGGGCTCGCTCCCTGGGGACCCGTAACCCCTGTACACTGGGGTCCCCTTGTCCTCAAGACCTTCTGTTTCAGGACAAATACCTGGCGGACATGGACGAGCTCTTCTCTCAAGTAGATGAGAAGAGGAAGGTGAGTGTGCCCCACTTCGTGCTCCCGTCTCTCGCTGTCTAGAGCTGCTTGCCATAAACCTGCTTTAGTCTGTGCTACCAACGCTGCCGTGTTCCCCCTCTGAACCCTTGCCATGTCCCAGACCTCTTTTTTTTTGGTGCTGGACTCACCCAGCCCCTCCTGACCCAGCTCTGCTTCTCTCGAGCCAGAAGCGGGACATTCCTGACTACCTGTGCGGGAAGATCAGTTTTGAGCTGATGAGAGAGCCCTGCATCACACCCAGTGGGATCACCTATGACAGGAAGGACATTGAGGAACATCTCCAGGTAGCACCAGGTTGGGGGCAGTGGGGGCTTCCCAGGACCTTGCCCGCCGTCCTTCTCTGCCTGACTCCTGCCTGCCGTGCCTGGGCGTGAAGGCAGTTGCCTGCCCAACTAAGGGCTCAAAAGCCTCCTTGGGTTTGGTCCCAGGTACCTGCCCGGGCAGCTCCCTGCAGAGGTGCCGGTGCAGGCAGGAAGGCAGCGGATGCTGCCAGGCCCTGCCTGAAGCAGAGGCAGCTGTTGGCAGGGGTCTTGTGCCTTGACTCACTCTCGTTCTGCTGGGAGGCACCTTCGGAGGGGACTTTTCCTCTGTCCTGCTCTTTCCTTCCCCCAGCAGACGCATGGATGCCTGGCTGCTGTGCCAGATACTGGCACAGGCGCTGGCCTCGGGCTGCCTGTGCCCCAGGGCTGAGGCTGGGCATGTGGAGTAACCGGTTCATGGCCATCTCCTCCCTTGCAGCGCGTGGGTCATTTTGATCCGGTGACGCGGAGTCCTCTGACCCAGGACCAGCTGATCCCCAACCTCGCCATGAAGGAGGTGATAGATGCATTCATCTCTGAGAACGGCTGGGTGGAGGATTACTGAGGGGCTGAGGGGGCCCACCCAGGTTCCCTCCATGGCCACAGATGCACAGATGGCTCTTGCTGGGCTGGCACCATGCCTTACTTGCTCTCCAGCTGTTCCCCCTCCACTCCAGGTGCCCAGAGACCCAGCAGCAGCGCTGGGCAAGGGCACATTGCCATCTCCCCTTCCCGAGGAGCCGCAGCAGCTGAGTGGGCACAAAAGCTCCCCAGGCTCCCCTCTCCACCAGCTCCTTGCTGACCGTAGCGCTTGGACGAAGACCTCTGGGGGGGTTTGGAGAAGGCTGGCTTGTAAGAGTGGCCTGGAAGGTCTCACCAACATCTTCATCACCCAGAGAGCAGGTTTCCCCCTCGGCTACGGCAGCTGACAATCCGCAAAGATCATGTCCTGCTCCAGGGAGGTGCCACGAGGAGCTTGCTGGGATGAGCGCCTAGTGCTGGTCTGGCCCGGTCCCCTCCCCGTGTACATAGTTGTTTCCTCCTCCTTCCACCTGCTGCCTGGCCAGGGTCAGGTCCTCCTCTTTCCTGTAAATAGCCACTTGCTAGGGTGGGAGACCAACATTCTCTCTGCAGATGCCGACTCACTCTCCAGCTTTTCCTGGGAAACAACAGCCCTCAAGGTGGAAGGGGCTGGCTTACACGTCCCCTTGCCTGCCGGGGCCATGGTTCCCTGTGAACAACTGCCTGGGTTAAAGTTCTTCCTTTTAGTGACATCCCTTTAAAAAACAACCAGCAAATCTGCATCCGACTGAGACTCCAGCGTTTCAGTTGGCTGACAGCCTGCCTGGCTTTTGAGCGCCCTCTGGAAGTTTGCCAATGTCAATTAAAAACAAAACAAAACACAACACCCACATAAAAATAAATTTAAAAAAAAAAAATCAGCAATAAATGTGGAAAAAGAGCTGGAGTGATTCATGGCAGCGATCCCTGCACTGGGCAGGTGATGTCCTGGCTTGGGAAGTGGTGCCATCCCACAAGGAGCGGGGTTTGGCTGCCCCCGTGGGCTGGGGCTCACCTCTGCCTGCCCTGCCTGCCCGTCTCTGGTGGGGTGGGGATGTAGCAATACAAGAAGTGCTATGACACAACAACAACTTTAATCCAAGGGGGAGGGAAAAGCCCAGTAAAACCCAGCATTTCTACAGGCAGTTGGTCCCAACACCAGTAGTTGAGTGGGTGGCTGCTGGCTCTGCCCTGTCCTGGCAGTGGCAGAAGCTGGAGCTGCCGCCCCGGCACGGTCTCACCACAGCTGGGATGGTGGCGGCATGTCCCAGTCCTTCCTGGCTCTACCCCAGGAAGGTGGAGATGAAGACACTGGTGTCCAGGTTGAGCGTGGCGTGCCACCAGCGGTCAGGGAAGTACAGGACCTG